CTGATTTTGCATTTTTAAAACAATCTGTGATTTCAAGGCCTTCTCCTGTGATTTTTTCCACTGTGTGGAACGTTAAATTATAAAATATTTCATGAGGAGTTTGATGAGTACGCAGTGATTGATCACCACTGGTTTCTGAACGGTCTTTAAAACTTAAAACGGCTTCACAGTGACTCCTAGAAATATGAAAAAAAGAATTTGGTTCTTTGTTCCTCTTTTTTCAATCAACTCAGAAGGGAAATGAGAAATTAAAAATGACTGCTCTCTGTTTTTACATTATTATATGAAGCAAAATTCAACAATAAAAAAAAAAAAATGAATAAAAATCCAAAGTTTATCATTTATTGTTGGTTTCATTTAGAAAAAGAAGTGAACCAATAATAAACAGATTCTTTTCATTTCAAAAATCCTCTCATATTTTAATTTCTTTGTCATAGATTATATTTTAAGGTGGATTTTTTTCCAGTAAGATGTAGGATAACCTGTTTTTTCATAGTTAAACCATTTATTACTTTCCAGGTCCTTTTTTTCATTCCAGCTGTCTCTATATAAGCGGCCGGCTGCACCAACAAGCCTGATATCATATGAAGCAGGTCTTTTTTTTCTCTTCCCTCGATAATCAGGGAAGTTTGGCAGCACAACATGGCAGTGAAGGAAACGATGAGCAAGTTTAGGATCAAACATTCATGTTTTTATGAGTCTGTTTGAAGCTTCTTATGTTTTTAACTGAGTGAACAACAGAAAACTTTGATAAAGTGACCTGGAACTACTGTGACTGCTCTTTCACTGCAAAAAACGATCTAGAAATAAGTAAAAATGTCTTAAATTAAGTGTATTCACCCTGAATTTGAGCAGGTTAATGAGATAGTTTGCCAATGGAATGAGTAATTTTAGTCTTACAATAAGATAATTAGATAAAATGCACTTAATATAAGACAATGCAATTGTGTTTTCTTATTGTAAGTGTAAATTGTCTTGTTCCATTGGCAACATGTCTCTTTTACCTCCTCAATCCAAGAACAAATGCACTTATTTTAAGAAAGAATGACTTATCTAGATTTAGATTTTTTGCAGCGTAGCAGCAGGTGAAACAGGAAGGAAGTAGGAGATAGAAGGCTGGGATTCTGCCCGCCGCCTTGGATGAGCTGCTGGTCTTATATCTTATATATTGTGCTGCTTTAGAGCGGCTAAACAATAAAATAATATGATAATAAAGCTGCTGTTTGATAATTGATTTCTGCTCCTTGATCATTTGATCACTGATCAGATACATGAAGATCAATCCTGACCATCTGTTCAGCTTCAGTAAAAGTTTGTTTACAGGTTATGCTGCCCCCTTCTGGTAACCCTGTGACCAACATGCAGCAGCTAAATATGTTCCCTATAATCAGAGATGGCAAAAGTACTCACTTTCCGTACTTGAGTAAAAGTACAGATACTTGTGTTAAAAAATACTCTGGTAATAGTGGAAGTACTGATTAAACTTCTTTACTCAAGTAAAAGTAACAAAGTACAGGCTTGTAAATTTACTTAAAGTATCAAAGTAAAAGTAGAAACCACTTTTTTCATGCCGTTGCCTACATTTTAAATGGATGTCTGCCAATAGGACTAGATCTCCGTTGTGTTCATTTTCAATCATCTCGTCGTCCATGCTACTATGCTAACGCCACCGCCACCAAGCTGCAATGATTTGCCGCCAATGAATACCGCCGAATCTGTCGATTCATCTTGTAGTGGTGCGTCAAATGCAACGTAGATTCCCATCCAATTAGATTGAATTTGGTATTGATGACGTGAAAAATAATAACGGTAACTCCATTGAAATGATTCAAAACTAAAGTAACGAGCCAATTTTTTAAAATGTAAGGAGTAGAAAGTACAGATATTTGTGTAAAAATGTAAGGAGTAGAAGTAAAAAGTCGCCATAAAAATAAGTAGTAAAGTAAAGTAAAAATATCAGAAAAATCTACTTGAGTACAGTAACGAAGTATTTGTACTTATTTACTTCCCATCTCTGCCTATAATTCATATAAGGTTGGAGATGATGAAGATTTTTAATTTAAAGCTTAACTAAGGTTCAGATTTAGATAATTAATCCTGTTGTTCCTTCTGCTGCTCATCATGTTTAACTATAAACTGGTTAATTATTCATTTATTGCTCTTTATGTAATTTTATATTTGCATTCTATTTTCACTTAGATTACTTTTGTATTAAATGCATGGTTTATATTTTACATTTTATTTATTTGTGTAATTCTATGAATGCATTTTATTTTAGAAGCTGATAAACACTCTGGGTAAATTTACTCCAATAATTTGTAATTTTACCAACTTAATCCGGTAAAAATTACTCCAATTAAAGTTTGTCCTCCTGTTCAATAATATTGGAGAAATTCGCAACAATATTATTGAAATATAATAGTTTGCTTTAACTTTATTAATCTAGAAAGAGAATGTTTGTGCTGCAGCACCCCCTGCTGTTCGCACACTGTAACTACAAGACAGAAATAAAGGAGTTTTGAAATTATGAATTAATTTAATTCATAATTTCAAACTGAAGTAATTTCTGAGGCTTTTTTTTAACCATAAAAAGTTTTGAATTTTTTTTTATTTAGCCAGTTTACATAATGAAACCCATAATGACAGTTAAAACTTTACTAATATAACCATCTTTAGGAGTGACACAGTTATGGTTTATTAGTCTCTCATATTGAATTGATGGAACGATAAAAGTCTGCTGTAATAAAGCAGAATTAATCATTTTTTGGATGAATTATTTAAGTAAAATATTTTCAGGCCAGATTCAGTCAAAGGATGAAGAGATGAAGGAACATTAATCTGACCAGAATAAAAGCAGAGTGATCAAAAACAATCATTTCCCCTCCAGGATCTCTGAAGGTCGTCAGTTTAAGCTCAGGAAGAAGATCAGACTCTGATCTGAACCATCTGCTCTGCAGGAAGGTCAGAAACAGGAAGGTTTTCCTCTTCCACTGAGGATGGTTTAGATTCTCGGTCCCGTCCTAAAACCACCTGCTCTGATCTTTAGAATGAAGTCTTTAACCAGCAGACAGAGAACAAGCAGGGATTCATGTTCGTAGCGTTTTCCACAGACTAAGAATTGGTTCTTACTGCTGTTTAATGCATTTTTGTTTCTGCCAGAGGAAATAATGCGTTATTTTGCTGTAAGATCTAAAACCTGCAGGAATCTTCCCTCATTTTCTGCAAACAGCATCAGATAAAAGAAGAGAAACAAACTTTAGATCTCTGCTCTGATTGGCTCCTCGCAGAGTTCAAGTTATTCATCTTTTACTGCAGCAGAATAAACTCAGTGAAACTTTTGATTCAACTTTATTTATTCAGCCAGGAAGGAACTTCCATATAAGGTCGTGATGTATTTACACACCAGAACCTTTTATCTGAGGTTCAATGCATTTAAAATGACTAATTTGGTTATGAAATATTATTAAACATGAATTTACCAGAACATAAAGAAGTCTGCAGCCTGTGGCTCTTTAAAAAGCGGCAGCTAATCGCTAACAGATGTCAGCGTATCTATTTTGGGCAACATTCTCTCCATTAACTAATTGACTTTCACCAAAAATTTAACAAATATAACAAAAAACACATTTTTTTTTAAGTGGAATTTCTTTTTTAACAACCATCGCCTTTAATCTGTTTATTTTTTATTCTTTTTCTGAACCTGTCTTGTTGCTTTGCTCTGTTTGATTTTACATAAAGTTCTATTTAAATGACCTAAAAACCATTCTGCAGCGTTAGAACTGGACCTAAAGGATCAGATCCTGCAGGAAGTGAACAGGTCCTCTCTAATGTTTCAGTCTGAGCTTCTGATGCTGCAACAAAAGCTGAATTTCTTTTGAGGATCTTTTCAACAGCAGAGGAGCCCCTAAGGATGTGCTTCTGTATGGATGTATGATTGTTATTAGACAGGAGCTCTAATCAGGAAGCAGAGAACAAACGTTCCACCTGCTTCACCATCAGGATCGTATCAGCAGGTGGTTGGTTGAAAAACAGGAATGGATCAGGAGACCTTTGACCTTCAGCTCCATCAGAATCTCTACAACTAGATAATAGGAATAGCAAGAGGAACCCATTTATGAGACGTTCCGATGTGAGGAGAAGCTTCAGGACGCAGAGAGGGTCCAGAACCTCCATGATGTTACCCTAGGAGCAGCAAAGGAGGCGGATCTGTCCAGAAAACCATTAATGACAGACTGAACACCTGCTGGAGGGTTCGGTTCTCTGATGGACCCCCCATGGAGGTTTGGGATCAGAAGATCCAAGAACTTTGCCATCAAAGCAAAGCTGAGGCTGACCCTGAGGTCACCATGGATGAAGAAACACAGAAAGCTTTGGCTGCTGGAGCAGAACCGTAAAGGTGACCCAGAAAGATCGTCCAGGTGGATTCTGAATCACCTGAGTGAAGTTGCCCCCCCACCTTCTTAAAATCAAACAAAATTGGTGTCAAACGTTTGTGCAGAAAAAATTCTCGTTTCTGCCGCTATCATTTTTTTATAGTTTAAAATCATATAATCATAGATTAGCAACTTATCATTTATAGTTTCAGAATGAACAAATGTTCACTGTCCTTTGATGGCTTCTACAAACAATTATTAATATCATTAAAATGATAGCAGTACAAAAAATGTATATATTTTAAAATAAGCATTTTTTACATTTTTAATATGTTTATTTTAAATATTATTTCAAATTAATTCTAAATTTAATATTTTTGTATGGCAAAAATTTCCTTTTGTACTGCTATCATTTTAATGATATTAATAATATTTTGTAGAGGTCATAAAAGGTCAGCTAACATCTGTTTTTGCTGCACAAAACGGAGCCGAGTTAATTGACACCGGCTATGGGGGGGGGGGGGGGGGGGGTTGACCTTTGATGACCTCTAGAAACATTTCTTTATATCTTTAAAACGGTAGCGGCACAAACGAAAATTTTTGCTGCACAAACGTTTGAAACCAATTTTGTCTGGTTTGAATAAGGTGGGGGGGCTGCTTGACCTTTTGACCTTTACATATTCATTAATATCTTCAAATCCAAAGCAGCACAAATGAATATTTTTGCTGCACAAGGTGATGATGAAGGAGGCTGAGGAGACGTGATTAAATGATCGTCCAGCTGGTGATGATGTGGTAAAGATCAGAGGTTGGACACCCTTTGGTCATGTGATTCAGTTTTATGGGCGGGGGGACGGAGCTGGTTTCTGATTGGTGGAACTCCTGGGTCTGCGTTCAGAGCTGCGTGGGTCTGTGACTGTGAGGCTCACTGCTGCCACCGGGGGGCGTGGTCACCAGGCTCCTCAGATACACGCAGGGGTTCCTCCTCCTCCCAGAACCCGGCGGTGGAGCAGGTGGGGGCGCGGGCGGCGGTGACCCGGGGAGCCTCAGGGGCGACATGAGCGGCTGCATTTCCTGCGACGCCCCAGGCTCCTCCTCCTCTTCCTCCTCCTCCACCTGCTGCTTCTTCTTCCTCTCTGGAAAGCTGAAGGAGGCCTGGGGCAGCGGGGGCCCCGCCGTCGGCCCTGTGTAGGAGAGCGGCCGGGGTCCTCCCAGCCTGGAGAGGGCGCTGACGCGAGGGTGGACGGGCTCAGTGGGGGCAGGTGGGGAGGAGATGCTCTCCAGGGAGGAGATGCTCTGGTTCCAGGCCTGCTGCAGGTCCACAGGGATGATCTTGGTGGCCTCCACAGAAACACACGGGGGAGGGGCTCCAACGCTTCCCTTCCACGGCAAATGGCTGTCTGCAGCGGGAGGGGAGGGGGTGTGGGGTGGGGGGCTCTGACAGACGTCCAGAGCTGCTGGGACTGAAGGAGAAACAGCAGTCAGAGATTCTAGACTCAGTTTTCTGTAGATCTACAGCTTCTTCTTCTCCTCAGAGTTTTACCGGATTTGGGTCGCTGTTTGGGCGTCTCCGCCTTCCGAGCCACGAAGGTGATGCCGACATCTTCCTCCTTTTCCGGGTCGGAGTGATCGGCTTTGTCCTCTTCAGGTTCCACAGGAACGACCACAGGATCTGAGACAGAACAGCAGCAGGTTAGATCCGAGGGTCTAGAAGCTGCTCGGCTGGAGACGATGGAAGGGAGAACGCCATCAGATCATCGGACGTTCTAAGGTTAAACCAGAGCTCATGGATTAGTGGACCGGGTTCCGGATCAGAACCCACCTGCTGATTCTAATTCAACCAGATTTAAAACATTTATAAACTAACGCATGTTGTCTGACGGCAGTGTCTAATTTCACTTGCTCCTCTTCTCCTGTTAATACGGTAAAGCCCTGCGGAGCGTCCGGCTCCAGGCTGCATGTGATCCAGATGAGCCAATGAGAACTGCGGTGAACTGGTGAAAGAAAAGTGAAATGGCGTGCTCAAAGATGACCCTGCACCCTTAGAGGATGTTTGGCTCAACGCTCAGTTCAGGTGTTTTATACACTGTAAAAATACTCATTCCATTGGCAAACTATCTAATTTACCTACTCAAATTAAGGGTGAATACACTTAATTTAAGAAATTTGTACTTATTTCTAGCTCGGTTTTGCAGTGCAGTTCTGGTGTTTTATACACTGCAAAAAATCTGAATCTAGAAAAGTCATTTTGTCTTAGAATAAGTGCATTTGTTCTTGAATTGAGGAGGTAAAAGATACATTTTGCCAATGGAACAAGAAAATTTACACTTAAAATAAGAAAACACAATTGCATTGTCTTATTTCAAGTGTATATTATCTAATTATCTTATTTTAGGAGTAAAATTACTCATTCCATTGGCAGATCATCTTATTTACCTACTCAAATTAAAGGGATAGTTCGGTATTTTTGACATGAATCTGTATGGCATCCCCATCACCAGTGGCATGCAATCACACTGACTTACCCCTGGCAGCGTCCTGTGAGCAGAGTTATCGTCCAGTTTTGGTCAAGCCGAAAGTAGTCCGTCAGGTTTTTAGGAACAGCGAAATAAAACTTTTCTCTTCCCAAAACATTATGTGTTCAAAAGAGCGATATTTTTGCATCCCAAAAACTTTGTAGTGGAAAAAGTCACACGTCGTTATCAATTGGTCCTATTTTCTCTCTGTTCGTATCAGTGCGCGCCGTCATTCAGACAGCGAGAACCTGACAACAGCCATGTCTCCCTCCGCCCAGCTAGCGGACAGAGAGAAAATAGGACCAATTGATAACGACGTGTGACTTTTTCCACTACAAAGTTTTTGGGATGCAAAAATATCGCTCTTTTGAACACATAATGTTTTGGGAAGAGAAAAGTTTTATTTCGCTGTTCCTAAAAACCTGACGGACTACTTTCGGCTTGACCAAAACTGGACGAGAACTCTGCTCACAGGACGCTGCCAGGGGTAAGTCAGTGTGATTGCATGCCACTGGTGATGGGGATGCCATACAGATTCATGTCAAAAATACCGAACTATCCCTTTAAGGGTGAATACACTTAATTTAGGAAATTGTTACTTATTTCTAGATCGTTTTTGCAGTGTAAAATATGTGAATCAGGATATTGTCTTTATACCAAACTGAACGATTGCTGTTCTCTACACTGCAAAAAAACATCTAGAAATAAGTAAACATGTCTTAAATTAAGTGTATAAACCCTTAATTTGAGCAGGTAAATAAGATGATCTGCCAATGGAATGAGTATTTTTACTCCTAAAATAAGATAATTAGATAATAAATTACTTACTTATTTAGATTTCCATTTTTTTGCAGTGTACTTAAAAAAACACTTTTAAACCTTTTAAAACGGAAATAGTTTTTTTTTATTTAAAAAGTCAATGTATAACATGGATGCATAAAAACCTCATTTTATTTCAGCGTTAAATTCTGTTTAAAGTAAAAGATTATAGTTAAAAATGTTTTCAGACCTTTACTGGTTGATGGTTTTCTTTATTCGGACCTGCTGATGTTTAACTGGTTAATCCTGGTCTAGGTGGGCCTTCTGGTTTTCTTACCTTTGTCCTGCCAGCTGACGTTACGTCTGGGTTTGTCTCCTCCCTCATCCTTAGAGTCGGATCCTCGGCGCTGTGGAAACAGGAAAGGAGTAAAGCTGCGAACGTTAAAGAATAAAACAAACCGGACCAATGTTCTGTCGCTGAATATATTGAGGTCTGAAGCAGTTCTGGAGCAGCAGAGCTGCTTCATCTCCGCTCTTTAAAAGTAGAGTTTTCAGCAGGGATGCAGGATATAATCGGCCCCCTATCGGTATCGGCCTTAAAACTGAATATCGGACATCGGCCACCCCACCGATATTTAACCCGATATTTGATCAGCTTCTGAGTTTCTAAAGTCTAAAAAAAATAAATAAATAAATACTACTTCTTCTTCTTCCTCAAAAACGTCTTTTTTACAGACTTAAAAACTTCTAAAGACGAGGGAAAAAATATTGATACATTAAAATATCCCAATATCTTCATATGCTGATATATTGCCATTTAAAAACACCATATCAATCTCTTTTACTAATGAAATATTGCTATATGTCATCGTTATGCTACGAAATCCCCCGAAAATTCACCAAATTTCGCCATATTTTTATATGTTGATATATTGACGCGGTATCGATCTATTTTACTAACAAAATCTCACAAGAATTTGCAAAATATCACGAGAGTTTGTAACAGAACAATGAAATTTCACCAGATTTTGAAAGTAAAATAGATCGATACCGCGTTTTTAAAAATCTATTTGATATCAGCATATGAAAATATATTTGAGTTTATTATTTTTCAAAGTGTCAGAAATGGATAACAAAACTGCTATTTTCAATGACTACTTATTTTTGTCCAGCTTTAACATCGGTATCGATATCGGTTATCAGCTACATGGGTTTTAAAATATCGGCATATCGGATATCGGCCAAAATCCCGATATCGTGCATCCCTAGTTCTCAGTGATAGGAACCCAGGAACTCTATGGTTCTGCCAGGTCCATGCTGCAGCTCTAGATGAATCTAAATAAAGGTCAATTAGCTGCTCAGTCAGCAGCTGAACCTAGAAACTAGATCTAGCTGAAGAATCTTAGGCCTCTATCCTCTTCAGATCCTCCCTGATCCTTCAGAGACGACCCAAAGGAACCAGCTGTTTGGACCCGTCTAATTCCTGCAGATTCATCTAAACATCCCACAGAGAAGAACTTCTAAACCGTCCTGCAGCTGAGTTCTTGTACTGTTCCTAATCCCGCTTCAATGTTCATTAGTTAGTTCTATCTAAGGAAAACCAGCTGATTGCATCGACTCATTGACTCTTCAGCAATCCCTCACACTAAGCATGCTTGTAGCGACAGTGGAGAGGAAAAACTAAATTTAACTGAATCTTTCATTCCTGGAGCAGATCTTTGCAGTGAAGAACTGCTGCTCCTTCTTCAAATTAAACAAAAATGGTGTCAAACATTTGTGCAGCATAAAATCTTCCTTTGTCCTTCTATCATTTTAAAGTAGGGCTGCAACAGCGAATCGATAAAAATCGACTTTTAAAAGCGTTGGCAACGAATTTCATCATCGATCAGTTGTGTCATCACTGCCATGGGGGAAGAAAAAAAAATTACGGCAGAGCGAGCCAGCGCTGCAGGTGCGCAGTGTTGCCAACTCAGCGACTTTGTTGCTATATTTAGCGACTTTTCAGACCCCTCCAGCGACTTTTTTTTAAAAAAAGCGACTAGCGACAAATCTGGCGACTTTTTACGGTGTCACTGGCGGCTTTTGGAGACTCTTACGTGAAAGCATGTATCGTTCCTACTCTGCCGTGGGGCGCCTCCCCCATCCCAACCCCGTTCTCCTGCAGGAGTCCCTCTCAGCGCTGCAGTCAGAGCCGCAGGATGTTTACCCTCAGCGTCCAGACTGCAAATGAAGCGCGCATGCGCCGGGATTGACGGCGCAAATTGATCACAATAATTAAAATAGCCTTTATAAATACATTAACTTGCAAATTATGAGGGCAAGGCTTTTAAAGTTTAAATCTTCTGGCAAAGATAAAGTAAAGAAGATCCTGCAATTTATGGAAGTAAAGCAGAATAAAATCCAGCAAGATCAGTAATATGCCAATTAATTATCTGCCACAGTCCCATGTAAATATCTGTCTTTGGAGGATGTGTTTTTTAGCACCCCTAGTTCTCTCATTTTTATTCCAAATACAATTTATAATTTGAATCACAGGGCTATTTTTATCTCTATGGTTCAGTATTTTCTCAAGTAGCAACTTTAACTGCTATACTTTCCTGTCTTAAAAGGCAGAACTCTTCTAGTCTAAAAAACCTCATTTGGTGAAATGGGGGGGCCTATTGTTTGAATCCCTTAGGGGCTTTAAAAACAAAAATGTCTTTTTTTTGCGCTTTATGAAACAAAGTAGCCTATATTTTGTGGATGTACAGCTACATTTCTCATGTAAGTTTGCGTAGTTTTAACACAAACATTTATTTTTCATATTGCACCAGTACAGTTAATGAGCAACCTGTACTTGTGTGCTTGTTTGTTCTGTCTAAAATGTTTATTTTGAAATAAAGAGGTTAATATAAAAAAAAAATATTTGTCCGATTCATCGATTTTTACAATAATCGTTAGTTGCAGCCCTATTTTAAAGATATAAATGAAACCTTCCAGGGGTCACCAAAGGTCAACCCCTAACCAACCGTCTTCCAATCAAACTAACTTGGTGTCATTGAATTTGGCTGTTTAGACTGGTTTTCATTTATGGTTATTAAACAATGTCAAAGGTCAAAATCAAACCAACTCCCCACATTAAATAAATAAACTGTGTCAGAATTTTTTTGCAGCATAAAATGTGGCTTTTGTTTCAAAGCAACTCCACAAAAAAAAGAAAATTAAAAACAATTTGTTTGTTTCCAAGTTTGAAGACGTTTCTCTTCCATCCAGGAAGCTTTTCCAATTCAAAATGTTTTTAAAATATTGTAGTGAATGTATTAGTTCAGTCATAGGACTTAACAGAAGTAAGTGTAATGTTATGTGTGGCCTCTAGAGGGCAGTTGGATTCTTGGTTATTAATATTGGCTGTCTGTATCCTGAGTTCAGTTGTTTGATAAGCTGCATAGAAGACACCACTTGGCCCCGACGAGAAGACAATTCCTCGTTGGAGCTAGGCGTCATTGCAGCCTGTTGTAATCATCCAACCAGCCATTAAATGGTAAACTTCATCCAGCATTCCTGTCGTGTCATTCCCACGCAACGGAGACTGTGAGTAAACTATATGCATTCAAGAGGGAAGCTGAAGCTAATCAGATCTCACATGAAAACTAGCAAAGATAGCTAACTTCATCCGAAGACGTGACGCATATAAACAAGAGGTAAAAGACACGACACTGGTGTCAGAAGCAAAGTGGACCGAAATATTAGTGTGCTTTGGGAGTTTGCACTTAATACTTTCATTCTGCCGAACTTTTGGACTGTATCAGAGTTTTATTCTTTGCCGAATCATCAGAGATATCCAGTCACTCGACGGTGCTCTGTTTCCATTCCCCCGTGCGAGAGAAGGATGCGGCGGTGCTGCAAAGGGAAAAAGTGCCCGACGTAGATGTTAAGGACAACCGAAAAGTAGCATAACAGCGACGTGCGAATGATTTCTGAACTGTTTATTGCACATTGCCTTGGACATTAGCCCTGCTAATAACATCCACTATACTGACTTGCTTGAAGTGCCAAAGTACAGGATTGCATTCAAAACACTTTGTTCATCTTAAAAAAAAAAAAAATAATAATAATAATAAAAAAAAATAAATAAATAAATAAATAAAATAAAAAAAAAATAAATAAAATAAATAATAATAATAAAAGATAAGAAGAAAATAAATAAATAAAAAATAACTAAATAAAAAAAAAAAAAATATATATATATATTAAAAAAAAAAAAAAAAAAAAAAAAAAAACCCTGAAAGAAGGAAATCCTGTCATGATGTCGGAAGACCAAGCAAGTGGAGATAGTGCGACTGCGGCCACAATAACATCGTCAGACCCACCGTCATGGGTAAAACTCTTGTTAGAGCAGCAAGCCCACATGCAACGCACGCAAATGCAACAAATGCAACAAACGCAAATGCAACAGATGCAACACATGCAACAAACCTTGGCTGGGTTGACCACACATCTCCATTCCAACAGGGGCCCATCTCCACAGCTTACAGCGCCTGCAGTGGGAGTGTCAACTGTGAATTCAGATCAGGTGACCCGAAGTCGCACATCTCACGCCACCCAAGATGGCTTTGCTCGCCCCAGCCTGCAGGAACATTCAATTTCACACTCACCTGTAGTATCCCAAGCCACACTTATGTCTGCTCCACGTGCTGCTGACGGTGCAACAAACCAATTTGCTGCTGAACTGGATGTAATTCAACAGCGGTCCCAGAGCACAGGCCCCCCTTGGCTGCTGTCTGATTCAGGCGCTGTGGACAGGGCCAGAGGCATGGAAAGGGAGAGAGGACGACAGCGTTTCACAGCTGCCACCTCTCGGACTCATGGTTCCAGTCACATACAATCTGACGTTCCTCCAACTGCCCCATATGATGGGCCTAGAGCAAAAATGGCGACGTATGATGGAAAAGACGACTGGGAGCCATTCTTGTTGCCATTCGAAAGACTAGCTCGCAAATATTCATGGACTGGTGCTGAAAGGGTCGACAAGCTGCATGAATGTCTTCGCGGCGCTGCCATGCGCTATGTATGTTCCCTTCCAGAACACATCAGAGAAGACTACACTCTGCTTAAAGAACACCTAACTCAACGCTTTGGTCATCAAGATCCCCCAACAACGGTTCGCAGGAAACTTGGAGAATTACGCCAGTCAAAAGAGTCATCTGCGGAGTTTGCAGAGGAGGTGAGACGTTTAGTAACCTTTGCCTACCCTGGGGTAGATATGTCCCTGCAAGATCAATTGGCTGCAGATGCTTTTCTAAAGGGGTTGAAAGATCAAAAGCTAGCCTATGAAGTGATGAATAAAGATCCATGCACGCTGGCAGACGCCCAAAAGCTAGTGGAAGCACATGAACACAACTACAAGGCTACAGTGGGGCGGGAAGTG